CCACTGCGCACGGCGCTGGAGCTACCGGAGGTGTTCATGAGCGCGCAGAGGTGGGATGAGCTGCCATACAACCGGGTGGCATCGGTGGCGATGAAGAACTACACCGAGATCTTCATGAAGCACGACGAGGCGCGCTTCAAGCAGTTCCTGAGCGACGTCGAGGCCGGGAAGAAGAAGATCGCGGCGGGGGCTTTACTCCCGCATGACATACTCAGGGACGCGGTGGAGGAGCACCGCGAGACGGCGGAGCTGCAGTGGAGGGCGATGGTGGACGAGCTGCGGCAAAAGGGGAGCTTGCAAAACGCGGTCTCGATCTGCGACGTGTCCGGGAGTATGAATGGGACGCCGCTGGAGGTGGCGATCGCGCTGGGACTCCTCACGGCGGAGCTGAGCGATGAGCCGTGGAAGGGGCGGCTGATAACTTTCAGCAATGAGCCGGCATTCCACGAGATCACCGGCAAGACGCTGGCGGAGAAGTACCAGTTCACGACGAGGATGCCGTGGAACATGAACACCGACTTCCAGAAGGTGTTTGATCGCATCCTGGAGCGAGCACGCGAGTTTAACGTCCCGCCCGAGAAGATGGTCAAGAGGCTCTTCGTCTACAGCGACATGGAGTTCGACGAGGCCAGGGGCGGACCGGCATACAATCCTAGTCCGAATTGGTGGGGTGGAAGCTCGCCATCGCCGCCAGCCGCTTCGGAGGGATGGCTCACGGATTATGAATTGATCAAGCAGAAGTTCAAGGCTGCCGGATACGATGAGCCGCCGCAGATCGTGTTCTGGAACCTGAGGGACTCGGACAGCATCCCGGTGACCAAGGACGAGCCCGGCGTGGCGCTCGTCTCGGGCTTCTCCAAGAACATACTCAAGATGTTCCTCAACTACGACGGCCGGGTGAATCCCATGATAATGCTGCACAACGCCATCTCGGGCCCGATGTTCGAGGACATGGTGATCGTTGACTAGGTGCGTTGACTCTAGGTGGTTTGACTTTTTCCTGTTGACTTTTTATCTCCTGTTCCTTTCACATGTTAAACAATGATTCGTAGTCACTAGCACTGAAGTCTCTATCAATCAGTTTATATCAACTCTAGCCTAGAGGATCAACTTTAGAAAGATCAAGAAGAATTATATTGCTGCAAATCTTGTAATGATTCCGTACCCATGTAAATTATTCATGATTCGCAAAGAGGTTATAAAAAATCACTACATGACTGTACCTCACACATCTATCTTATAGTGATTTTATATGGCCTCTGGCAAATCAAGAATAATTTACATAGCTACAAGATATCCACACGGTACTTCTCAGTGATTTAGGCAGTTTTGTATGACCCGCTCGCAAATCAAGAATAATTTAAGATCTGAAACAGCACATACATACATTCGCATGTTATTTCATAGTGATTTCCTCAGAATGAGTTGACAACGTGACTGCCGCAAGCCTGCATAAGTGGTATATGACAAACACCAGCTTCACAACAAGCATGTTTGCTATGCACTTGGGAAGCCAGCCAGCAGGATCAACCTGCAGAAACCATACAAAATCACTAACACTTGCACTGAAACAGCGAGATTTAGACATACCTGGACGATGTAAGTCACCATGCAAGCATTGCTCTGTTGGATCCGCTCCACCACCCAGCCGGAGTAGAGAAGCAAGCCACGCACGAGTTGGCCACGGGGTGGCAAGATTCCAGCAGCCATTTCCTGTGGAAGAGACGTCACGGCAACCACCTGGGAGTTGAATCCACCAAGAACACACAAGTTCGTGAGCTTCACGGCGGCCGTACATGATCATGTTCTCAACTTGATCATCAATCGGGAAAAAGTTAAAAAGGTTTTGGAGTGAAAGCTTACCACCGTACCGTCGTCCATGATCTCGCGCCTCTCGTGAACGATGAACTCCCGGTTTCTAAAGAGCGGTGATCTGGAATTGCGCCCAAAGACGAGCCGGAAGATGTTTAGATTGTCTTCCAGGCGATGCAAGCACTGGCCTTCAATGAAGCTCTTGTCCCATTGCTGGTAAAGGAAAAGAAAACCATCAGCGAAAACAAACACACCAGATAGTTGGGAAGTTTGTTCCCTCGTTTTGGCTTTTTTTTTTCCTCTCGAAGAAGATCCTTCCGTGCTCTCGAAAGAATAGAAGAAGTACCTTGGCAGTGTCGATCGCGTTGGTGACCGCTTGGAATTTGGAAGGGGAGATGTTGAGCACGCTCTGGCCTCGCATCACGATCGTCTTGTTGCCATCTCTCCGGCAAGATATCGCAATGCCGCGCTTGCTCTTGATCGGCTTCCACCCTTCCGTCTCGTCGGCCCGGGAATCCACGAGCAAATCCTGGTAGCATCTGTAGCTCGCGTGCTCCACGTAGCGCTTGAGAGATTCCTCGCTCACGCTCATATTCTCGCTCTGGAAAAATATTTCGAGGATTCTCCCTACCTAATAAAGTACCTGATCCAGCATCCTGGCGAGCGATCGCGCCAGATCCCGATATCTCGATGAAATCCCTTACCCTGTGCGCTTAGCGAGGGCTAGAATGCTGGCGATTGGCCGTGGAAGTGACGGATTCTCGAAGAGACCTATCGATTTTGCCTGGAATCATCCCGCGACGACAGAGAACACTAGCGAGATTGCGGTGATCGATTGATCCAGAGAAAAGAGAAGCGTGGAGTGCGCGCCAAGATCCACTCCACCGCGCCTTGGCTCGAGCTGCGCGAGCTGCAAAAGCGCTGGATCACTAGTGCCAAGGCATATCCTGCCAAAGGGGCTAAAGATTCCATGGCCGAGCATATCCCTGGCATATGCCTTTAGCACGTTAAAGGTTTCGAGCACGCAACTTCGTGAGCACGTTTGGAAAAAAAGGAATTTCTGACATTATTTTTCTCAGATTGGCCACGTGTTCAACAGCCCCTGGATGAGCGCCACGTGGACGCCACCTCACTCCTCGCGAGGGCAGCGAGGGCGTCCCTCTCAGTCTCCTTTGCTTCTTCTCTCCCTCGTTTTCACACTGCCCAGTTTGTAGCAAAGCGAATAAGAAACTTTGATCTTTTATCCTAGGTCTCGCCCGCTTCGTCCCAACCCTAAGGCCTCTCCAATTCTCTAAGCGATTCCAATCCGCGAGACAGCGCCGGGCGGGGCGGAGGAGGCGCGCGCGCGATGACAGCAATGGCGATGGCTGTGGAGGTGAGTGCCGCATTCTTGTCCTAGAATTTCTAGGTTTTGGAGCTCAGATCCGGCGCGCATTCTGTGAGCTCTGGGAATTTCGCGTCCCGGGAGTGAAATTGGCGGTGCTTGCTGTGTGATAGGAGGAGCAAGGAGGTGTGCTCGTTGCCGCCGGCGCTAATCCGAATGCCACCGACGCGGCGGAGGCAATGGAAGGTAGGATGATGGATAATTATCGTTTTGGTTTCATGCTTGTTTCTCATCAGTTGTTAGCCAAGCCGAGACCGTTCCAGTATCTGGAGAGAGCCGAGCAGCCGAGGATCCACTGTGTGGAAAATTCACTTGGCCGATCGAGAATTTCTCCAAGATCACCATAAAAAAATACTACTCGGATCCTTTCGTCATCGGTGGATACAAATGGTACTGAATCTCAGCTCCTTTTTTTCGCGCTTGTTGATCTTTGTATGCAGGAGGATACTGGTGTTTACCCAAGGCAACAATGTGGATTGCCTTTCCATGTACTTGGATGTGGCAGATTCGGCAAGCCTTTCTTACGGCTGGAGCCGATTTGCACAGTTCAACTTGGCGGTTATCAACCAGTTTGATCCCAAGCTGAGCATCAGAAAAGGTGACATTCTTTTCTTGGAATCTTGATCAACGTTTTTATATCCTTTCAGATACTCAGCACCATTTTAACGCCAAGGAGAGTGACTGGGGGTTTACTTCTTTCATGCCTCTACATGATCTGTATGATCCCGGTAGAGGATACCTTGTCAATGATACACTTATACTGGAGGCCGATGTTAACGTGCGGAAGATGGTAGACAGTTTCTCTTACGACTCAAAGAAAGAGACGGGATTTGTAGGTCTGAAAAACCAAGGAGCTACTTGTTACATGAATTCTCTTTTACAGACACTGTATCACCTGCCATTTTTCCGAAAGGTAACCATCTCGATTTTCTTGCTTTTTTTACAGTTATTCGTGTTGGCAGGCAGTATACCATATGCCAACAACGGAACATGATGTTCCATCCAGTAGTATACCACTGGCACTTCAAAGTTTGTTCTATAAGATCCAGTATAGCGACACGAGTGTTGCAACTAAAGATTTGACTAGATCGTTTGGTTGGGATACGTACGATTCGTTTATGCAGCATGATGTGCAAGAATTGAACCGTGTTTTGTGCGAGAAGCTGGAGGATAAGATGAAGGTTTACTGCTATTTTCTTCACGTTAAATGTTTTCTAACACCAAGCTCCACTACAGAGTACTGCTGTTGAAGGTACCATACAGCAGCTTTTCGAAGGCCATCATATGAATTATATTGAATGCATCAATGTGGACTATAAGTCCACTCGAAAGGAATCTTTTTATGGTTTGTTTCTGCATTTTCGGGAATTGCAGGCAATATTGTTAACCCGTTGGAATAACAGATTTGCAGCTTGATGTAAAAGGCTGCAAGGATGTTTATGCGTCGTTTGATAAATACGTCGAGGTAGAGAAGCTCGAAGGGGATAACAAGTATCATGCTGAACAGCATGGCCTTCAGGTTTGTTTTTCGTGTTCCATGTCAAGAAGGTTTAATGGTTGTTGCTTTTAGGATGCACGCAAGGGCGTGCTCTTTGTGGATTTTCCCCCTGTTCTCCAGCTTCAACTCAAGCGGTTTGAATATGATTTTGTGCGAGACACAATGGTTAAGGTAATAGCTTGAACTACGTTGTGTTGGTGGATGGTTCCTAGTTCCATTCACTGAATTTGGGCTGTTTATTGAACAGTGCCTAATTATGCTGGCAGATAAACGATCGCTACGAGTTTCCTCTGCAATTGGATTTAGATAGGGAGAACGGCAAATATTTATCGCCGGATGCCGATAGAGGCGTGAGGAATTTGTACTCTTTGCATAGGTAAACATTGAATAGCTTATCCTCGTAGTCTGATCCGGGTTTTGATATTCCAGCGTCTTGGTGCATAGTGGAGGTGTACACGGAGGGCACTACTACGCATTTATCAGACCAACTTTATCTGATCAGTGGTACTTTCAGATACTGACTTAGGTAGTTAGTTTTGAATGCTAAAATGACGCTAGAAGTTGATCAGGTTTTTGGAACATTCTCGCTAAGTCTCGTTTTCTGGCAGGTATAAGTTTGACGATGAACGCGTGACAAAAGAAGAAACCAAACGAGTTCTCGAGGAGCAATATGGTGGAGAGGAGGAAGTATGTTTCTTGCTAATTTTTGTGCGATTTTTGCTAATGTGCTGCGCAGCTTCCACAGGCGAATCCTGGTTTCAACAACACTGCGTTCAAATTTACGAAGTACTCAAACGCTTATATGCTTGTTTACGTCCGAGAGTGCGATAAAGATCGGATAATTTGCAATGTGGACGAAATAGATATTGCAGAGCATTTACGGGTATGCTTATTCTGATTTTCATTTGTGTTTTATAACTATATGGACTTCAGGTGAGGCTAAAACGGGAGTACGATGACAAAGAGAAAAAACGGAAAGAGAAGTCTGAAGCTCATTTGTACACTGTCATAAAGGTAGTCCACTATTGTCTTTGTCTTTGGTCTCTTGACGCTTTTACCAGGTAACAAGAGAAGACGATATTTCTGAACAAATAGGAAGGGACATTTTCTTTGATCTCGTTGATCATGATAGAATTCACAGTTTTCGAGTTCTGAAGCAGCTGCCATTCGCAAAATTCAAGGTCTGTAGCCCAACGCTCTGCTGTCCGAATTTTTTGACTTTGAGCTTTTAGGAGGAAGTTTCCAAGGAGTTCAACGTTCCCGTAAATTGCCAAAGGTTTTGGCTATGGGCTAAGCGTCAAAACCATACTTACCGTCCGAGCAGACCATTGAATGAGCAAGAGGAATCACAGATGGTTGGGAACATCAAAGAGACAGCAACAAACAAGACATACAATGGGGAACTGAGGCTGTTTTTGGAGGTTCAAAAGGCTCAAGTAAGGAAATGTTCGTCAGAGAAACTCACTTTAATGCTTCACTTGTGCAGGACATGTACATTCCATTATCTCCATCCGAGAAAACGAAGGATGATATCTTGCTTTTCCTGAAACTGTATATTCCGGATAAGGAAGATTTAAGGTATGTTTAGAACTATTTCTAATCCATCAAATTATTCTTTCTCCTGTTCAGATATGCGGGAAAGTTAATGGTGAAGGCCAATGGAAAAGCTGCGGACATCGTAGAAAAGCTGAATGAGATCGCGGGTTATCCATCTGGTGAAGAAATTCTGCTGTTTGAGGTAGATAATGTTTTTATTCTATATTGATTTGCTTCATCATTGTTTTCGACAGGAAATTAAATTTGACCCGAATGTGATGTGCGAACCAATTGACAAGAAACTTACGTTTCGAGACAGTCAGGTACGGGTAGAACTATTTTTATATTTGACCCCGATTGTACGTTTGCTCAGTTGGAAGATGGTGACATCATATGCTTCCAGAAGGCAGTAAGCAAAGAGGACTCGCAGCAATTGTCGCTTCCAAACGTTGCTATGTTTCTGGAGCATGTCCGCAGCCGTCAGGTCCATTCTCTCGTTGCTCCTTTCCTCCATTCTCTTCGTTAAAATTTACGCATTGTTCTTCACAGGTTCAAAGAACTTCACAAGCGCTAGCCGTGTCCAGAGCTCCTGGAGCCCGTGCCTTGTGCTGGCGAAGTCCACAAGTCCAATGAAACAACGCTGTTCACTCTTCTATAGGAGAAACAACACACACACACACACACACGCTACTTATGCGATACCAGCGGAGAATTCGATCGATCGAGCGAGAGTTTGTAAGGTTTGTGCGGACTAGGAGGAGAGAGAGCGAGAGATTTGCGACGGGAAAAAAAAGGAAGGTTTGTTGTTTGTAGGAGGCGCGACGACGATGTGAAGCTTGTGTAAGTTATATAGCTAACATCATCGACAACAGATTTAATACACACAGGAAAGATTTATTCCATTGACAAGTAGCCGTTGGATGGCGACAATCTCGTTGCCATTCCAAAGTGGAAAGTAACGGGTCTCGTGAACGGGCGGCCTGGATTATCACAGAATTATTTCGAACGCTTTTCTAGGTCGTGCTTCTCTCAGTGCGCAGCGATGGCGGTGGAAGAGCGCAGCGGTGTCGGCATCGGGAGCAGGGAGATTTGGAGCAAGGTGTCGAGGAAGGCCAAGGCGGCATTTGCAGATGATCGGAGCCGCGGGCGCGTCGGCAGCTGGTTTCACAACCGCGGTCGGGATCTTGAGACGCGGGAGCAAAATCTCTGCGAGGTAGCCCATGCAAGTGATGATCGAGTGGAGATTGGTGAAATACCGCAGGAATTTCCGGCGAGAGCAGGATTTGAGAGCTCTGCGCCGCCGCTCCAGAAGAAGCTGGAAGCGTTTGCATCGAGCCTGTCGCAATTCGGCGGCTCAATCGGCAAGGCGATCGAGGTATTTGGCAGATTCTTGGACAAAGCTAAGTTTCTCTCGTGTTTAATGGCAGGATGGTTTTACTAGAGTAGAAACGAAAGCTTCGAATCTCATGTCTATGAGAAGCCCGTCGCAGAAGCCGCGCAAAGAGGCCGCCGTGTTGCCACTGGATCCAAGTCGCGATGGAGAATTTGAGACTCTGGACATCCAGCATTCTCGAGAAGTAAGGTGAATTTGGAATGAAACATGGGAACAAGAGAACTAATCGATCTTCTCTTCTCAGGTGGTGGTGGAGCAGCAGGAGATGAAAGCTCTTCGAGAGGAGCTCGAGTTCGCGTTGAGACGCATCGAGAAGCTGGAAGCGAACAACGAGAAGCTCGAGCAAGACAACGAGAAGCTCGAGCAAGAGAACGCGAAGCTGATCGAGAAGCTCAAGCAACAGGCCGAGATAGCGATGATGGCAGAGGAGGACGATCTGGTGAGAAGTGATTGATGGCAAGTTCTCGAGTTTTCCTCTCTTTCGCTCACGAAGAACATCGTTTCTTCCTTTCGTTCTTCCCTAGGTGAGATCGCAAATGGAGAAACTCCACCAGGAAAAGTCGAGACTGGCAAAGGAGAACGAGAACTTTGCGATCGAGATTCGCTGCTTGAGAGGATTGATGGAGTTCGATCAGCTAAGTTTGCAAGAAGTTCGTCTAAACGAGTAAAGAGAACTAGAGTGACGCGAAGAACAAAACCAAAGAAGAATTAGTATAATTGTCCAGGGATTCGAGCCGCGGACCTGGACGAATATCTTTGTACTGTTGGTATCGAACCTCGGACAGGCTGTGATTCTCGCAGGCCAGCCTGGTTTTTTGCGCTAGCTTGGTAGCTACCGGCTGACAGCTGTGAGGCAAATTAAACTAGCGATTAGCCCCTTGCTGCGTAAGCCGCGTTCTAGGGTTTGTGTGAGCCGGGGCGCTAGGTCGTGCGCCATCGCCATCGCTCTCGTAGGTACGCTGGGATTTCAGGATCGATCGAGAGCACGGATTTGAGCTGCTGCGGGGCTTCGTGCCGGTCGATTCGGCTTGATTTGGCGTAGCCGCGCGCCAATGTGGGAGGGAGGCGCGGGTTTTAGGCGTGGTTTTAGCGCGGGAATGCTCGCATTGGCGAGAAACGATGATCGGGGATCACAGGGAGGGATGTCAGGGGCTGGATCGGTTCGAAGGAGGTTTTGTAGCTGGAATTCCGTGCTGATGAAGTGAACGATGAAGGCAAGCGCACCGTGGCCCCAGCAGAGTTTTTGGGTAAAATGTCGCGGCATTCGTCGGCTTCTCATTTCCACAAGTCAAAGACGCTCAATGATAAATATGTGAGTTTTTCATTCTCCTTTTTTTGGTTTAGGGAGATCGTGATCATTTTCATTATCTTTTGTATCGTGCTGATCAGTTTTTCCTTCTTCTTTTGTATCGTGTAATCAAACAGATAATAGGAGATGAAATCGGGAAAGGTGCATATGGCAGAGTTTACAAAGGCTTGGACCTGGAAAATGGGGACTTTGTGGCAATTAAGCAGGTTTCTCTGGAGAACATCCCGCCAGAGGACCTCGCAAGCATCATGGTAAGATGGAAGTTACTATCTTTCATTACGAACTCATGCTTTGTCAATGTATGTTTTGTAGCAAGAGATCGATTTGTTGAAGGTATGCAGTTTATTGTTTTGGTAAAGATCGCATCTAATAATGTTCAAGCTTTTCAGAATCTAAACCATAAAAACATTGTCAAGTACAGGGGATCTATCAAGACCAAGACACATCTGTATATCATTCTTGAGTAAGCTAACCGTCAATGTTGGCCTTGATTAGTGTGGTTTTCTCTGCAGGTATGTCGAGAATGGTTCTCTGGCTAGCATTGTTAAGCCGAACAAATTTGGCGCATTTCCAGAGTCACTTGTTGCTGTATACATTGCTCAGGCATGTATAAATTACAAAGTGGAGTGCTAACTCGATATTCACAGGTCTTGGAAGGACTGGCATATCTTCATGAACAAGGTGTTATTCATAGAGACATTAAGGGGGCTAACATCCTCACGACGAAAGAGGTGTTTACTACTTGAGCCAGTGGCTTGCTTGCTAACATGTAGAGCTTTCAGGGATTCGTAAAACTTGCGGATTTTGGAGTTGCCACCAAATTAACTGAAGCTGACGTGAACACTCACTCCGTTGTTGGGACTCCGTATTGGATGGCACCAGAGGTGCGTTTCACTGTGCGCGACCTTGTTTAATCTTGAACGATGCTTCTGTTAGGTAGTCGAAATGTCAGGAGTCAGTGCTTCGTCGGATATCTGGAGCGTTGGGTGTACTGTTATAGAACTGTTGACATGTGTGCCTCCTTACTATGATCTCCAGCCAATGCCTGCACTTTTTCGCATTGTCCAGGTATCTGTATTTTTTGTTTTCTGCTTGTGCGAAAATATAAAATAATCACATGTTTACAGGACGAACGACCTCCTATTCCTGAGCATCTCTCACCTGGATTGACAGATTTTCTGCACCAATGCTTTCAAAAAGTTCGCTCCCGATTGTCTTATAGTGGCAATACTGAAATCTGATTTCAGGATGCGAAGCTCCGTCCAGATGCCAAGACATTGCTGAAGCATTCCTGGATTCGTAATTCACGGCGAGCTTTGCAAAACTCTCTTCGTTTGAGGTAAATACCTTTATGAGTTTGAGATGTACTTAAGCTTTTTTTTTTTGTGTAGCAATATCCCGCAAGATGTTTCTACGGTTTTGGAAAGAAGCATTGAAGATAGCAAAAAGGAAGACAGGAAGTCTTCATCACCTGAACCAGCGACATCCTTGGAGTTTGTCTTGGTAGTACTGAGTTTCTGTCGCTTCTGTTGATGACACGTCTTGCTGGTTTAGGATGATGATGCAAAATCTCGTTCTCAAGAATTGGCGAGCGTATCGGTCACAAGTGAGGCAAATGGAACGAAAAGGAACAATGACTTGCTGGTTATTGACGAGTCGTCACAAACCGGGGATCAAGACGAGCCGGAGGGGAGCCTAAAAGCTCCCCGTCCTGTGGTCTTTCCTGGAACAGAGGAAACAATGGGAAGACCTGAAGCTGTTGAAAGATCTTTAACTCCCGAGAGACTGATGTCACCCCCTCAAGAAGTGGATGAAATGTTGCAGCATCCGAAAATGAACAGCAAAGATCTACCCACAGAGCCATCGCAGGTTTGTTTTTTTATTATATATTCATTCTGTTTGAATTTGCTCGTCTAACATTTGTGCTTTAGTCTGTGAAGGGTGTAACTTCAACTATTCGAGAGCTGAGTAAGTTCAGCGACACTCCAGCTGATGGAATTCTCGATGATCTGTTCGAAGATTTTCCTGCCAAAGTTGAACGGAAGGAAGATAAGTCACCTGCTCCTCTGGCAATTCCGAACAGTGGGAGAGACTCGTCAGCTCTAGTAAAGAAGCTGAACGATAAAATGGCTCGAAAACGAGCCGAAAATAAGAACGGAGAAACGAACTTTATAGCTATTGTGGATGCGGTTGAAGACGAAGACTTCGACAGCACTGGTTTGGTGAGTCTCAGGTATTTCCTGACTGTGATAAAGTAGATTTTGATGCTTATACAGTTGCATTCAGGGTTTCGATGGCAATGTGGAAGGAAGAGACTACTATGGCAAACAGGTAGCATTCTCATTACGTTGCAATGTCCTTACGTCTCACACTTCGGCAGGCTGTGGAAGTTACCCGATTGATTGGTCTATTGAAACCAGAGGAGCCCGAGGAAGCAATAGTTTCCACTTGTCAGAAACTCGTGTCCGTTTTTCGCGAATTTCCCGAGCAAAAATCTCATCTTATTCTGCAACATGGGATAATGCCATTGCTTGAAATGCTGGAGGTGAACAACAATCGAGTAAGCGTCCGGTTCTATCTGAAAATTTCTAATAAAGGCTTGCAGGTCATGCATGCAGTATTGCAACTTATTAACCAGATTGTCAAGGACAGTTCTGATATACAGGAAAATGCTTGTTTAGCTGGTTTGGTAAGTCTCTCTTTATCTAGCAATATATTATCGATACATGGTGCCTACAGATACCTGTTGTGATGAACTTTGCTGCGCCAGAAAAATCAAAGGAAATGCGTATGCAGGCTGCGTACTTTGTTCAACAAATGTGCAATAGCAGGTTATCTAGTTTTTTTGCATTTCTTACTTGAAGGGACTGACATGGATATTGCAGTAATTTAACGCTGCAAATGTTCATAGCTTGCAGAGGCTTGCCTGTGCTCGTTGGTTTTCTAGAATCGGACTATGCGAAGTACAGGTAGTGTTTCTTCAAAACTTATGCAGGTTCTAACCTTGATTTTACAGAGAAATGGTCCATCTTGCGATTGACTGCATGTGGCAAGTGTTTGAGCTAAAGAGTCCAACACCAAGGAACGATTTTTGTAGAATTTTCTCAAAGAGCGGCGTCCTTGTTCGACTTGTGAACACGCTTCATAGCTTGAATGAGGCGGCGAGGCTGGCTTCTGCAAGTGGCGCAGGCAACTCGGCCATCGGTGGTGAAACTACGTCTCAGCGTTCACGTTCGGGACCTCTTGAACCATCTCGAGTGTATGCTGATCACATTCGTCCAAGATCCGGACAGCTGGATCCGCTGCGGGTTCGACATGACTTTCTCCGTCCGCCTACAGATTCTCCGAAGGCGCAGCAGCCACAGAAGTCTCCACTAGCGCAGCCTGAAAGCTCAAAGCAAGGCGAGTATGGTGGGGACGGGAAAGTACTGGGTCATAATCGACGTCGTTCATCATCACAAGAAAGAATGCCGCCGGAGGTGTCAGGAAGGACCGAGAAGACGGCAGAGAATCACTCCGATCAGTGGCATCTAGAAAATGGGTCGGACATGCCCCGGAAGTCGTATGAACAACTTCCTCCGCTTCTAAGTATGCTGGATAAAGAATCGACGAGGCCCGCTACTTCTGGTCGTGCAACAACAGAGAAGGCTGACAGCAGTTTCTTACCTCTCCTTCACCACTCTGGTGCAACGCGGAAGAACAACGGGGACCTCGAAACGTTGATGCGAGCATTTGCAGGTAATAACCTTGTTTTTTTATCGATTCTACTGACAGATTACATCCAGAGAAAGGTGATATTCGTGCGTTAGGACTCAGCCAAGAAGGCAGCTCCTCAAATGGCCTGACGACAAAGCAAACCTTACCTCAACAGCCAACAGCTGAAATGACGGCGTCAACCTCTGGTTTAGTATCACAGTCGGCATCGGGCTTACTCTCGCTTTCTGGCGTCCTCAATGGAAGGCCCGGAAGCGCAACGTCTTCCGGCGTGCTTACAAGAATGACATCGACGCTAAATGCAGAAGTGGCGAGGGAGTATCTTGTCAAAGTTGCCGACCTGCTGCTGGAGTTTTCTCGCGCAGATACTGTTGTCAAGTCGTCGATGTGCAGCCTGAGCTTGTTGATCCGGCTGTTCACAATGCTCAGCAAACTGGAGCCTCCTATACTACTCAAGGTAAACACTTCTTTAGCCGAGTCTTCGCTCTATAACTGGCCTTGACTTTGCAGATATTGAAGTGCATCAGTCAGCTTTCGATGGATCCGTATACCCTGGAGCCACTCCAACGAGCTGATGCTATGAAACATCTAGTCCCGCTTCTGGAAGGACAATATACTTCGCAAATACACAACCAGGTCCTCCAGTTCTAAGACCATCCGAGGCTTACAAATCTTTTGCCTTCTGCAGGTACTGAATGCTCTTTACAATCTATGCAAGATCAACAAAAGGAGACAAGAGCAAGCTGCTGAGTGTGGCATTATTCCTCACTTGTTACACTTCATCACCACAAACTCGCCATTGAAGAAGTTTGCGCTGCCGCTTCTATGCGACATGGCTCACGCATCGCGGTATACCAGAGAGCAATTACGAGCTCACAAAGGCCTGGACGTGTACCTGAACCTTCTGGACGACGAGTTCTGGGCAGTCACAGCGCTGGATTCTCTGGCGGTGTGTTTGGCCCACGACAACGACCAGCGCAAGGTGGAATCGGCCTTGGTCAGGAAGGACTCGGTACAGAAGCTGGTGGCCTTCTTCCAGTCTTGCAGTGGCTCGTCTTTTGTACATATTTTGGAGCCCTTCTTGAAGATCATCACGTAAGTTCCATGCTTTGTGTTTTTATTTTCGTCTGACCGTTTTGATTTTTGGTGCAGGAAATCTCCACGACTCAACACGGCGCTTGCGGTGTCTGGGTTAACTCCCCTGTTGGTTGGACGGCTCGATCATCAAGATGCAATTGCGAGGCTCAACTTGCTAAAACTGATCAAGGTAATGGTGAAACGTGGAGTTTTCTGGGAGTAAAACTAGTTCTTGCAGGCTGTATACGAGCACCATCCCCGGCCCAAGCAACTGATTGTGGAGCATGATCTGCCCTCCAAGCTGCAAAAGCTGATCGAGGAACGCCACGGTGAGCGCTCGGGTGGCCAAGTTCTCGTCAAACAAATGGCTACAGCTCTGCTCAAAGCTCTCCACATCAACACTGTATTATAGTGTTACAATTTACTCTATTAGGAAACTATTGTATGAGCGTTGAATCTTCTGTGGTAGAACTTCTTTGCAAAAAGTATAATAAATCTACATCCTATAATTTTTACACGGTAATATGCTGTTAATTTCTTGTGATTGATCACGAATTCCTGAACTAAGAGGTAATATGGTGTCCATTTTTCGTGATTGATCACAAATTCCAGAACTATAATCCTGATGGAGTCATTCAGAATATATGCCACTCTTTAATTAATGAAAAAAAACCGGATATAAGCTTGTATATTTTGGTATATTCTACCATTTATTCATCTTGTGTTTGACATGTTTATAGTTTGTATAATATATATGGTGGGCAAGACAAGAAAGAGATACTTGTTCTAGACATTGTGACTAAAACCATGGAACAGTGATGAGGTAAATTTGCTTATTGTTTATAGGTACTGATAAGCCACCATTTTGGACTATGGCTGCACTTTCAAAACTTTTCCTTTTTCATTATTATTTATAAGCTTTCTTAAATCTATATTCTCACTTTATCTACCATCTAGTTTTTTATATGCAATTAAATTAATTTTGTGTTTTTTGTTGATAAGTGTTATATTGTTTGTCTTAATAATAAGATTGATCTTTTTGACAAAAAATTCAGACACAAGTTTCTTATACTGAACGCTAGGTTATCTTCATTTTGTCTCTACAAACCAGAGCTTTCTAAACCTGAAGGTAATGCAACTTCGCTTTGTTCTCTCGGCCTTGCGAACAAGTCTGATCCAAGCATTTCTCAAACTTTCCAAACTGCTGCTGGACTGCAAACCTTTAGCTCCGGTCAAAGTGGAGTGGACCGCTCGCCAGGGACCCCAAGCTCGGACCCTGGCGCTGGAGGCGTCTTTCCAAGTTGGCTCTTCGATCTGGACTCCTTCGTGGATTTGGAGGATCTTCTCCAAGGATCTCCCTAAATGAAGACAACGAACGGTACAAACTTTTTCGTGGTAGACAGTTTCATTGTCATCTCCCTCCCAGCTCACTGAGCTGATGAAGTGCAGAACTGTTGGAAAAATAAACCATCTGCTATTTTCCCTACCCTAGCCTAGCTTGGAATTTGCCTAGGTGAATCATGTTTCTATCGGATCCCATGGGAAGTGTCCGCAATTCTTAAAGAAGAAGAAGTCAAACGAAGAGCAACTTCTCCTCCTGCTGATATGAAGTCGTGGTGGTTCATGTCGTGGTCGTTGGCGCAGATGACACAGACAGGCACACCCAGGGCATGGACGTGGTCGCTCTTCTCGCCCATGGGTTCCACGGAAGATCTGACCACATGAGCGCCAGGAACCATTCCTGGTGTTTGAAATCCAGTATAACAACTAAGAAATGTTTCCTAGCGAAATTCTTCTCTTAAATTCACAACTGGAGCATGAACAACAATCTGTTTGTTTTTCTGTGTATTAGATATGTGTTAACTGATTTACTCTTTTTTAACGGTTCAATCTAGTAACAACATATTAGAATAAAATATGCTATAGTAAATAATGCATTGCTGCAATGCAACGTGCAACAAATTATTTATTTATTTGTAAAAATGTAATCATTTTTTTATATATGATAAATTAATAATTTTCTGTGGTTACTCCTATTTATCAATCCAATTGATCAAATGGAAGTTTATAAATATAGACATATTTATAATTTACAAACACAATTTTAATCATCTATTAAATGATAATAAACTATAATATAGGAAAGTTTATAAACTATAATATAAATTATAAATATATGATTATTCTAAATGAATAACAACCAATAGATGGTAGAATATCTCAGAATATCCAAGTATGATCTTGGTATATTCACTCAGCCCCCTACAACTTTGCTAAGCAAACCCAAAATGTTTTAGAAGTTAGAATAAAATAAAAATAAACTTTCTATTATTTTGGATTGGGGTGGTCGTGAATATACATTTCTAAATTATAAATACAAGATTAATCCAAATGAATAACATGTTAGATGGTAAAATATCCCAGAATATTTAAGCAACATGTTTATAATTTATAAAACAAATTAAAACATTTCTAGTATATTCTAGTTTATTCTATCATCTAATTGTTGATGTGCAATAAGATTAATCTTGTGATTATAAATTTAAAATATTTTTATAATTATAAACTTATAATTGATCAATTGGATTAATACATACTATTAAAGATGAATAGCATTATTATTAAGTAAACCAACTGTTGTTGTATGAAATTCATAATATATTATTTAAATAACTATAATCAAATCTTTTAAAATTATTGAATTTTAATGTTAAACTCAAAGAGTAGTTAAAACAAATATACATAAGCTAATATATATCTTTTAAACACTAACTTTATAGCTTTATTATATTCACTAACACATTATAAATTAGTACTTTTTATTATTAGGAAATAGTTTTTAATTGATAAATAATATTTATAGCTATGAGTGCATGGAATATGTAATTTGATTCATGTGTAGATAAGTTTGGTGTGTATCTATGAGCTAATGTTATATAGAACTAGAATACAAAAATGTGCATATCAATTAACCCAAAAACCCTACTTTATATATAGGAGCGAGTAGTCTTGATTGAAACTAATAGATATTAAAATCCCACTAAATTAATATTAATATACAGCATTGTAGCCACAAATGTAAATTCAACTCTATTAGTAATATCAAACCATGACCATATAGGAGTTTATATGGTGAAGCACCAATAGAATTCTACACCCTTGTAACATATACATACTGAAGATACAACAAATAACCATCTTAATCTGAATGCTGAAAGTTCACATACTTTGCAATTCTCTCTTTGAAGGTCCAAATAAGCCATTCCACTAAATCATTTAATTGTGGATGATGTGACATATCCCCAATTGAAACTTTAAAATATAAAATGCCTCAGATATAAATACAGAATCATTATCCAAAAGAATTCACTTCAGACAAGAATTTTGAAACACCAAGCAATTAAGGAGGAAGTATTTAACAACAATTGTAGTGTAGTAGTAAGAGCATTAACTTCCATTCAATAAGTCAAGTAGTTAAAAGTAATAATGACATATTCATTGCTAACGATTGATCATAGAAAAGGCCCTATCAAATCAAACACCACAAACTCAAACAAACAAAAAACAACAATTGACTCCAACTATCCTTTTATAGCACAGAGGAGACTATTATGAAGTTGGCACCAAATGCAATTATATACACATCGAATAATATCATGTTGCATCTTCGGCCAATAGAAAGACTTCTGTAGTTTCTCAGTCACATGATAATATCCCATATGGCTACCTAGAATAGAAAAATTATAGTAAGTATAGAAAAAAATATGGAATAAAGATCAAAGTTATCACCTGCTATAAATGATCACTAGGATCCATTCCTACAAAATAAAGAACATTGTCCTCAAAACAATATTGAAAATGGAAATGCCAAAATGACAAATTATCAACAAGTGATGCAAGATTCTCAAACCCATTATGAACCTTTTGAATCTCCAACTCAACTTTTTGAACCTCATAAACCTCATCAAAAGAAAGTAAATTATGCCCTACACCTTATGGATGATCAACATCAAGTACAATATGACATGGACACAAATGCTAGAATAACAAACTTGTCAGAAATATAAGAAGAAAGAAAAGAAAGAAGAGGAGCTCGAGAAAGGGCATTAACATCAACTATAGAACTACCTAGGCAATGTACAATATCAAAGTTATATATTTGAAGCTTCAAACCCATCAAGTAGTATAACCAATCAAGTTTTTCCACTTCAATAAAGAAGTAATTACAGCATGATCACCTTTTAGTAATGTCCAAGAACCATGTAGATATGTATGAAGTTTATTGAAACCCTAAACTGCTGCTAAACACTCCTCTATTGTGGAGTAATTCACTTTCGCTGACTATAATATATGGTTGATGTATGTAATAGGATGGCATTGACTAAACACACTCAAGCTTTTTTGCATTAACACACCTCACAGACCGATATTAGAAGCATTCACACACAAAATGAAAGGCTGAGTGTAGTTAGGATACACTAAAACTAGAGGAGTCATCAACAACTCTTAGCTAAAATATTGCACCTTGCCTAAAAAAGTGTGCATACCATTCACACACTTTTGAGTAGGGAACTTTAGAATAACCACAGGTTGTCAATATCAACTTTGCAAACTTCACGAGAAATATACACCCAGATGAAGTGGTGTTTTTGGACCCAAACATGCATTTTGATCACTTTACTTTTAAACAAACTTTTCATAACTAATCCAACACTTTATAAACATTCTAGATATGTTCCTCCTATGTCCTCTCTAAATGGATCAAAAAATTATCAATGAAGTCAACAATCACCTTTAGCATATAATAATAAACCTCATCCATCATCTGCTGAAGAGTCGCTAAAGCATTGTTCAAACTTAATGACATCACCAAAAATTTATATAAACCAAATAGTGTATAAAAAGGGAATATCTTCCTCGACCATCAACTTGCTAGTACCCAAAAGCAAAATCTGATTTGGTGACCTAACAATTTCTCTTCAGACAATCTAGAAGATCAGCAATATGAGGAAAAGGATACACATCTAGGATCATCACTTTGTTTAATGGATAATAGTTAATGCATAAATGAATACTCCTATTAGACTTCCTCCATCCTATTCCAATTAGGGATGCTTGTCCAATCAAGGTTTTTATTCATCATCAGTCACCAAAAGAGATTAATATTTTACATATAAATATCAAATAGATGTTGAAAAAGGCTATTATTCAAATGTTGCAAAGTCTTTGGGCATGTGAACTTCACTTTATGACCAGGAATCATGTTCTCTTAATCCAAAAGGTGGTGGGTTAACCTAACCAATAATCATATTCTCTTAATATGGTTCCAAAAGAGAGACCAGTGGTAGTGGTGGGTTAACCTGACTAGATATAGTTCCAAAAGGTGGTGGTTTAACCCGACCAAGAATCATGTTCTCTTGATATGGTTCCAAAAGACGAGACTGTTGGTGATCCCAGATGATAGGTCAAATTCAAAGAAGTCAACATGCTCCTTCATGAGCTGGTCCTCTGTTACAA